TGTTGGAAGAGTACAACACTCTACACGTAAAATTCCAAATGGCGGAGAAGACAAGAGAAAGTTCGGGTGGGCACTCCAATTTCATCTATAATTGAAATATTTATATTTCTGAGCAATGTTTATATGTATTTTGGGTTTTATTTTGAAAACCGGATGTTATTTTGATGAAACAGGAAGCACGAAAATACAAAACTGCGCACCAAACTGTTTATCTCCTGTATGGATGCTGATCCAACAGTTATGGAGGAGTGAGGCCATTTATACTGCAGACTTAAATACAAATAGTAGCACCTTGAAGTCAATTCTAAACTGTACTGGAAGAACGGGGGTGATGTGGGCATACCTGGGGGTATTCAACACCAGTCGAGCCACAGCATTCTGGACCAGTTGAAGCTTCCGGACAAGAGACTGAGAAATTCCCACACAGAGTGCATTACAGTAGTAAAGTCACGAGGTGATAAAAGCATGGATAGCTTTTTCTAAATCTGCATGCAATAAAAAGGGTTTCACCTTTGTTAGGAGCCTCAGGTGAAAAAAGCTAGATTTAACCACGGACCTGATCTGCTTATCAAAATTTACTCCCCCTTCATTTAATCTCACATCAAAAGCCCAGTTTAGACCATCAAAAACAGGTGTAGATTGTTAAAAATCCAGTTAGATCATCAAAACCCCAGGTTACACCATAATAAACAAGTTCAGTTCATCAGAAACAAACACTGCATTGCAATATTATGACAAAACAGAAAACATACAATTAATGGTGTGATGACTGGAGGTTTTTTCTTTAAGGTTTCTTCTACATTAAAGAAATTCTCAAGCATCATACATTCAACATTTATTGAAACCAGACCTCAGGACCACTGTCTGGTTTGCTTGCTGGCTGGGTTGCAGTTGGGGTGGACAGTACCATTTTCTCTAAAATCAGTCCAGTTTTAAATATACTTTGAATGGGATTCTGAGTGGAGTTTGTACATAGCCCCACACTGGTCATAAGAGAGGAAAAAATATTTGGATGCACATGAATTGGCAGAACAGTTGCACAGGTCACCACGTTCTGATTGGCCCAGAGAAAACTTGAACAACAGGAAGCATCTCAGCTGAAGGAGACCTGTCCTCTTTAAAATAAGGATGAAAGAAGATGATGGCAGTGTATTATCACATAATAAACAGAAGCCAATAGAACAGATATGTTTGTCAAATGTTGTGCACCTACTATTGGTATCACGCAGAAGATGGCACCATGACATACTCTGTGAGAGCTGTGCAATGAAAACACAAATGTGCACTTTGGCCAGGCAGCTTGGGTCAATAGCCAGTCAGCTGGCCTGAATACAGGACGGTTCCTGGTGGCAGGGGAATGACGGCACTACCAACCACATTAATGAAACTAGTAAAATTTGTGTACAAATTACTAACATTTGCAGACTAATACAATTAAAGAACCAATTAATTAAATAAGGGTGCAGATTAATCACATTTATAGAATTAGCACATGGATTTATATAAATTTACATAACTACTAGCACATGGATTTGCAAACCTAACCGAACTGATATAAAAGGACAGTGTCCTGTTTTAAGTGATCATCAGCCAATCAGAACTCTTTTTGGGTTCGTACCTCAAAATACCAATCAGATCAGCGTTCAACGTCATTCTGGCCAGACTTCAACAAAACAAAAACTCCCCGACAGATATTCTGGAACTCTTTCAGACAATGTCACTCCTGTGTTTGTCCTTAAAACAAAGCTGCTTCCTCTGAGCCCGCCTGCACAATCATAGAAAACTTTTTTCCATCTGTCGTTCCACACACTCGCTGACAGAAAGTCCAGAGAAATGAAGGGGAAGACATCACAGTCCTGGAATGTTTCAACATTCATTCAAGAAATACTGTGGGAAACATCACAAGTGCTGCTACATAGAGGGGCCAAAGGTCATGTCACCCTAAAATATGACTTCTATTTCTTTATGTCCCCAGAAGGGAGGCAAGTCCCCACAAAGTAAAGAATATAGGCATTCCAACATACACACAAAGATGCTGATTTACACATCGTCTATCCAACTGCTGCTGTTTGTTCAACATTCATCTTTCTATAGTTGACTCAAAGTAGTTCCATAATCCTGAACCGGCAGAATTGTCTCGACAACATAGAAATGTCCCCACAATGACAGAAATGTCCCTACATACAGTAGATAAATGAGCTAAAACCTGTCTGTACAGTTAATACCCACCTGCCTCAGCGAAGGTGATGATCTCTGTTGTCTCCTGCTCCCCTTCATCTCCTCCGCCACCATCTATATGCACACTGCCATCAGCTGCCACCTGCCCCACGTGCAGCTTTCGCAGGGCATTGAGAAGAGCAGCACGCGGCACTGGACGCGTCACATTGGGTGGCGCTGGCAGGTGCAGCATGTCCAGGATGTGCCGCTTCACTGCCTCCACCACATCCTCATCCTCCACTCTGGAGGTGGAGGTTACAGGATCCACCATGGCCAGGGCACAGGTGGGGCAGCTAGAGTCTGGGTGAATGGACGCTTGGAGTCTGGACCCCCAAACCTGGACCAGCACCAGGAGGAGCAAGAACATCATAGTGGTCTGATCCTGATCTGCAGAAAAAAGTGCAAAAAAGAAGAAAAAAAAAAAGGTTGTCACCTTCTCCTTCCTCCTTTTGTCTCAGAAGTTTTTCCAAAGTTCAGCTCAGTCCACCTGTGAAAAAGCCATAGTCAGGGACGGGGGGTGGGGGGGCTGTAAACGAAAAGAAAGAAAAAATGAGTTATCCTCCTCCTCTTCTTTTTGTGTCGGGGGACAGATGGCTGGAAGATGTGGAGGCGTCACAAAAAAGAAAAAATCAACAGAAGAAGAAAAAAAATCTCAAAAGTGATGAATGGAATGAGGGAAAAAGTCCAGAGCTGCAGAGATCCTGAGGAGAGAGGGAGAGTTTTCCTCTGTTGTTCAGAAGCGCCGAGGTTTTCACCACAGGGGGACGGACTCACACTCTCTCTCTTCTCCTCACTCAGCCTCTGTCTCATTGGGTCTCCTCCCAGCTCTGTGACTCAGAGGGAAGGCGAGGAGACAAGAAAGGAAAGGGCAGGCAGGAAAGGGGAAAATAAAGAAGGATGATGTCTTTTCTTACCTTTCCTCCTTTTTATCCTTCTCCAAATTTGTTGTCTTTCCTTCTTCTTTTTCCTTCCTTCTATCCCTTGGCCACTTCTTCCCTCCCTTCTCCCTTCAGTTCTTTCTTTCTTGACTTTTGTGAAAAGATACACTACTGAAACCTAATGTTACAACCCTTTACAAACCATCACAATTTGGACACACCCCATGACCGGATGGTTTTTCTTTTCCTATTATGTTATGCTTCGCAGATTAAAAGTGAAGACAGCAGCACTATGGATCAACAAATATGGAATTACACAGTAAGTAAGATAACAGCAAAATGTGTTTCATATTTTAGATTCTTCCAAGTCGCCATTGTTTGTCTTGACAACTTAAGAACACTGTTGGTAACATCTTGACCAGTTTGATGAGATGGTCACCTTGAACAGGAGCACTTTGTAAAGCGTCTTTGTAAGTAAAATTTAAGTTATAATCCACAATTAATCCAATAACATATTCCAATAATTTCAATGCAGAGCTTTTTTTTTTTCTTTTTACATACAAAGTGGGAACATTTTTGGAAAGCACCCAGCTTGTCTGTGTCTGTCAGCCCTCCCTCTCACCACAAGGTCAGCCGTTTCATCCCAGTCCTCAATGACGCTGCACAGATCAAATGCAACGCTTGAACCACACTTTCACTGACACAGGAATCAGTGTAGGTGTGTGTGCTAGTGGGGAGGGATTTTACATCAGGACCAACTGAAGCCAGAACCGCATTCAACATTATTTCTTTTCTATAAATCAGGGATTTTCACAGGTTTTCTGACACTGTGGTCCCACCTCCTATCCAAACACCAAGAATGCCAAATTATCTAATATCATTTCCTGTTTGTAGTGTATCCATGATTATGCAAACAACTATCACTGAATTACTGTGACACTGAAGCAAACTTTAAGTCCTTAGGATTCTTCGGCAAGTTCTACAGTGTCTTTTGTTCTGACCTTTAATTCCGATTTAACATTTATGACAAACTCTACTGATTCTTCTGTTTTATTTTCTGCCAGTTCAGTGTGTTTTTTTTTTTTTTTAATGGGAGCTATACATTCAGCACACAAACATGACAGGTCATGATCAGCAACACCTGAACTCACCACAACGAGATGTTGGACACTTTCCTTTGATGACTGCACTTAAATCAAATGCACAACTTAAATGAGTTGACAACTCGGACACATACTGCCATACAGCCACCACAGAGCATGGCATCACTTCCTTTCTCATAGTCAAGTTCAAAACGTTTCTATAGCTGAGAGTTTGTCACTTATTTTTGAAAGTAGAAAAAAAGTGAGCTGGCTGCTAACTAGTCACTAAAATGTTTAGTTAGATCCATTACCTGTGTGCTAACTGCACTCACTGACATCGTTTACTTAACTGTTAGCTACATTAGCTGTTTGCTAAATACGCTCATTAAGATAACAATTGTCAGTTAGCTGTTAGCTACATTAGCTGTCTGCTATTTACCGCGCCACGAAGCAAACCAGTTAAGTTTGCAAGCTGTCAGACACCAGCAGCAGTCCAGCAGTAGCAACCTGTTTTGCACTAGTCAAAAATGTCCTTGAGTGACCACTAAAGCATCTTAGAACCTGTACACTGCTTTGGTCGCTCTAACTTTTATTAGTACGACTTTTGTTTTTAGTGTCTCTGTGATGGTTTTGCATCTCTGATGACTATAGAGCTTTTTTGCTTACCACAATTCCATATATCTTCAGTTTTTACCTAAAAACAAATATAAGATTAAACACAATGGTAATAAATATAGACAACACAACCTTTCCAAAAAATAATTACACAAAATGGGAGTAAAACGTTAAATATGGAAGAAATTCTTTCTTAAAGCACAAGAAAGTCCAAAAACCCTACAAATAAAATCAAACTTTTCTTTTACTCAAATTTTTATGTCTGCCTTCACCCAATCTTTCCTTCTCCCTCCAAAAATGTCAGACTGTTCCTTTAATACACCATATAGTTATTTACAACTGAGTACTGTCACCTGGTGGAAGACATGTGGACATACACCCGAACATATTTCTGTCATTGTGAGGACAGTCTATTGTAAAGTCTGTTATTTGAAGCCATCAAAAGCTAGCATTAACAACAACCCAACATTACATGCATTTTAAGAAACAAGAATGAGTATCTTGTTTCTCACCTGACAAAGCCATTAAGCTAATGCTAACAATTTTAAGCCTTTAGTATTTTGATTAAATAAAAGCTGTTATTCGAGGTTGAAAATAATCATTAAGCCGAATCCCAATAGAAAAATCAATATTTGTCAGTTTCTTTTTACTCAAAATACCTCTTAAAATTATCTGTAAAAAATAAAACAAAATAAGCTTCAGTTCACAGGTCAGAACACCTTGGAAAACCAATCAGTGAGCTGTTCTTTATTGAAGTGACAGTTTTAATTTTAAGTGCCATGAGGCACATTGACAGTCAACACAAATGGGCTCCTTCATGTTAAACCAATAGAAACACAGCAGACACTGCTAGGATGTCTGAAACCAAAGGCTGGTTTGTTAGCCTGATGTTAGGAGTTTGTTAACTTCAGATTAGTGGTTTGTTAGTATACTGTTGGTGGTTCATTACAATAATAGGTTCTTTTAATATGACAATGGCAGTTTGTTAGCAGTTAGCATAATGTCAGTGGTTCGTTGACATGAGGCCAGTGGTTTGTTAGCATGATATACAGTTTGAGCATGATTTTAGCGGTTCATTAGCAATATGTTGGGTGTTTGTTACCATTATGTCAGCAGCTCATCATCTTTCTGTTAGCATGCTGTAAACTGATTCTTAGTATGACATCAGCAGTTCATTTACCATGATATTAGAAGATTTTTAGCACTTCATCATGTCTGGATCCAGTATGAAATCCTTTCTAGATTATTACAGAGAGAAACTGTGTAACTGGCAGTTGAGCCAGGTGAAAACTAGTTCTTAGTTTCCTCAAGGATGTACACTTTTCTCTGCCTGAACAACAAGTCCTTGACTCTTAGAAACACTCTCTTCTTTTGTCAAGCCGTGAGATTGAGCTAGAGCACATGGAAAATGGTCAAAAACGCAGAAATATTCAACAAACGGACATTAAAATGATTTTGATGACCAATTGGGCCATTATCAAGTGCCTGCAGGGGTCCAAGAAAGTTAGCCTGGATCCACATTGGTCAGCATACTAGTCCAGAGTTTGAATCTGCACTGCAAGTGTGCAGAAAACTGGACGCATTTTTTTATGCATCAATATACATTTTTCTATACTGTGGGGATATTTCTATCATTGTGGGGACCTGTCAGAGCTTGGCCTTGCCCTGAAAGAAGCTCATGATGGCAGTGAGGCACTCATCCGATGTCCAGCGCTCCACCAAGAGTTCCACCTCAGCATTGTTGACCGCATGCAGACGCTCTTTCTCCCCTGACCGGATCAGCTGCTTGGACAGAGTCAGAGACTGGAAGACAAAGAGAAGAGCAGGAGGAACCAGAACTGATATTAATCTACAATCTAACACTGTAGCATTAACTACAAGTCAGAATAGGTTACATGTGATCCAGCTTGTTGCAGGTCCTTGCAGTCCTCCAAGGGTTGCCCCTTAAAGCAACATGACATCAACTATCTAGCTAATTTATCTTTTTATGAAAGCATTAAAAAAAAAAGAAAATTGCAATAAGCTTCTCTTCTGATGACATGGGCGAGACATGTCCAGCACAACTTGACAGGCAATACCTTGTCTGGAATGAGTTGTTCCAGTGTGGCTCTTCATGTTAGCATGGTCAGCTTATGTGACACGTAAGCTTACATTGTGAGGCAGCTTGGCGTAGGCCTTCAGTCGGGCCCAGACCTCAGACTGGAAGCTGCTGTCAGGGAAAACCTCAGTGACGAGGCCAAGCTCACAGGCCTGGACTGCCGTCAGCTTCTTGTTGAAGAGCAGCATCTCGCTAGCCTGGAGAGAGAGAGACAGAGAGAGTGAGACTTTCTACAGCCAAAAATTCAGTTTAGCAGATTTTATACATACTGTATTTACAACTTTTTATATCAAAGTCTTTGTCATATGCACAGTAAGAGAACATGTTTCCCTGCACAATGAAATTCTTCCTTTGCTGTCCACAATGAATGCCAAACAATATAGTCTAAATATAAAATAAAAATAAGTAAATAATAATACAGAATAAAGGCACTTTAAAAACAGCAAGTGAAAAATAATAAAATAAAATATATTTTTATGGCCTAAAATTCAAATTAAAGATTTATAGAGTTATATCAAATTTTCATAAATGAGTACTCACAGATTTTTGACAATGTGCAGATGTGTGCACTTTTTACAATAAGGTAGTCTACTACCCAGGACGCCAAGTACAGTGTGCAGGGAGGGGGCGCGCAGGTGATGACCAGAGCTGAGATTTCAGTAAAGTTGGAAAGATTCCAGTCTCCCAGCTCAAAAAGTCACACAAATGACGCCGTTTCCAAATGCAGTAAGGTAGACAACAAGCTACAGCCAAATTTTCACTAGAACGAGCCGTCCTCCACACTGGAGATGGTCCCTGTCCCACGTGGAAGAGGCTCAGTTTGATGAAAATTAAGCTGTAGCTTGTTTCTACCTTACTTGTGCAGATGTGTGCACTTTTTACAATAAGGTAGTCTACTACCCAGGACGCCAAGTACAGTGTGCAGGGAGGGGGCGCGCAGGTGATGACCAGAGCTGAGATTTCAGTAAAGTTGGAAAGATTCCAGTCTCCCAGCTCAAAAAGTCACACAAATGACGCCGTTTCCAAATGCAGTAAGGTAGACAACAAGCTACAGCCAAATTTTCACTAGAACGAGCCGTCCTCCACACTGGAGATGGTCCCTGTCCCACGTGGAAGAGGCTCAGTTTGATGAAAATTAAGCTGTAGCTTGTTTCTACCTTACTATGGAGAAGTCATTTCTGTTTGGATCTATGAAAGATTTTGTTACTTCACTGCAGTGTTGCAGAGCTGAGATGCACAGTCATTGAGATCATTCAAATCCACATACAGTGATGAATTTACAGATGGGCACACAAAACATATGAAAGCTTGTGAGCCATGATCAATAATACACAGCAGCACATTATAAAAACAAACACAGAGAGGAGCTGTTCACAGATGGTCTGTCGTCATGTGTTGTCACGTGCTTGTGTGTGTGAGAGAGAAATAGACCGGCTCACGGGGGGACTGAGCGAATACATGCACTACACCCAGCACTACACTGAATTAAGATTTAACCTATTTTAAATCATAATGCGGCAGTCAATGTTGATACTGTGGCAGCCCGCCACCAACCTTCTGACTGAACTCCTTTTCACAAATGGCGGGACATCTTCTATGCTAAATTCACCCTCACACGCCGTCATGCTAGCTGCCGCTGTGGTTTGGTTATGCACTGATATTGTGATACAGCTTTTTCACCTCAATGATAAATTTCATCACTTTTTAATATTGCAAGATCTCATCACACCTCTAGTGTCTAAACTTTACTGTCAGTGTGTGTACCTTAGCAGCACCCATTATCTTGGGGAAGGTATAGGAGGAGCAGCCCTCAGCGCTCTGCCCCAGCTGACTGAATGGGGTATGGAATGTAGCCTGGTGGAGTGAGACAGTTTCCCATCAATGTCCTGAGCCGTTTTCTGATTTCTGTGCTTGTGTGCATACCCATACCCGCTCCGTAGCATAGACCAGGTCAAAAAGTCCCAGCACCGTGACTGAGACCCCCACAGCTGGCCCATTCACCACAGCAACCAGCAGCTTGGGAAAGTCAATGTAGGCCTTCACATACTTCCTGTAGAAAGAAGAAGTCGTTTAAAGCTGGTTTTTATTGTTATGTGTGAGACAAAAAATGCTGAAGGCTTTTCTGGCACCTGTGAACTCCACACAAACAAAATAACAATAATGAAGAACATTAGTTGTACTTAGTTAAGATTAGCATTCTGACAGCACGTGCTGAAAGCAGTAGGAACCTGCTTCATTCTTACATTAGATATTAGCTAATGTGCTGTTAAACAGTAGTTTATGGCATTTCATGACTTAACCATTAACTACTAAACATTAGGAATTTAATGTTTGCTTTTTGCTAATACTTTTCAACATGGCACTTTGTGCTTGTGCCACTGATCGATCTGATCACTGGCTGACAGGTCACTGATCACCTGAGCAGGTCTCCACCACGTCTGGCCGCCTCCTGCACCCCCCCGTCTTGGATCTTGGAGAAGTTGGTCAAGTCATTGCCGCTGCAGTAGAAATCGCCAGCACCTGTGAGGATATTTATTAACACTGATTGATTAAATATATTTTCACACTGTATTTTTTCCAAAGTGTAACATGAGCTAAGTTAATCTGTTACTGCCACCCCATTAAACAAAATTAAACCCTACGATAAAGTTCACAACTTATTGCACTTTGTGTTCGTGTGTACAACCACTAGGGGGAAGATTATGGCCAAAACAACTTTGTGAACAGCAGCAAATAACAAAAAACACAACAACATGAGCTACAGTATTGCATCTCCTTCCTTCAATCACTCCTTTCTTGCTACCTTCATTTTTTTTCTTTAATTCATTGAGTGTACAGGAATACTGTGCACTTCGTGTGTGTACCAGTAAAAACAGCAATGACCGACTCATCTTTCGCAGCCTGCTCAAGCGCTGCAATGATCTCGTTGTACATCTGAAACAGATTAGATGTTTAAGAACTCATTAAAAGACATTAGCTTCAGCTCAACCTGTAGGAAAGAGAAACCGAGCAGAAACCGATGGTTTTACAACTGAAGAAATAAATCACATAACATCAGGAGTCAATAAAACAGATTTTGTTCAGTGCAAAAACACATGCTGTAATTGCTCCTTGAGAACTCACTTTAGTATGGTTTGTACCCGTTTTTAAATTTTCTGTACAAGTTCCGATTTAATGTTCCGACATCAAAACGTCCCTATAATGTAAAGCTGTCTTTACATGTCATCACAACATCAAGCTAATCTCAAATGTCAAACTGCCCCCTCAAAAGAAGAAGAAGAAGAAGAAGAAGAAGAAGAAGACGACATGCACACACCCCTGTGGTGATGGCGTTCTTCTTTGCCGGCCGGTTCAGCGTGATGGTGGTAATGTTGTCTTCCTTGGTGACCAGCAGTGTCTCGTACACTGCCCCACTTCCAGCAGCTTTTGTAGTCAACTGGGTGGAGCTTCCTCCTTCTTCCTCCACCAAGGACTCGATCAGTTTGCAGTACTGCTGCGTCTCCCAGCTCAAAAAGTCACACAAATGACGCCGTTTCCAAATGCAGTAAGGTAGACAACAAGCTACAGCCAAATTTTCACTAGAACGAGCCGTCCTCCACACTGGGCTTGGTCCCTGTCCCGATGAAAATTAAGCTGTAGCTTGTTTCTACCTTACTATGGAGAAGTCATTTCTGTTTGGATCTATGAAAGATTTTGTTACTTCACTGCAGTGTTGCAGAGCTGAGATGCACAGTCATTGAGATCATTCAAATCCACATACAGTGATGAATTTACAGATGGGCACACAAAACATATGAAAGCTTGTGAGCCATGATCAATAATACACAGCAGCACATTATAAAAACAAACACAGAGAGGAGCTGTTCACAGATGGTCTGTCGTCATGTGTTGTCACGTGCTTGTGTGTGTGAGAGAGAAATAGACCGGCTCACGGGGGGACTGAGCGAATACATGCACTACACCCAGCACTACACTGAATTAAGATTTAACCTATTTTAAATCATAATGCGGCAGTCAATGTTGATACTGTGGCAGCCCGCCACCAACCTTCTGACTGAACTCCTTTTCACAAATGGCGGGACATCTTCTATGCTAAATTCACCCTCACACGCCGTCATGCTAGCTGCCGCTGTGGTTTGGTTATGCACTGATATTGTGATACAGCTTTTTCACCTCAATGATAAATTTCATCACTTTTTAATATTGCAAGATCTCATCACACCTCTAGTGTCTAAACTTTACTGTCAGTGTGTGTACCTTAGCAGCACCCATTATCTTGGGGAAGGTATAGGAGGAGCAGCCCTCAGCGCTCTGCCCCAGCTGACTGAATGGGGTATGGAATGTAGCCTGGTGGAGTGAGACAGTTTCCCATCAATGTCCTGAGCCGTTTTCTGATTTCTGTGCTTGTGTGCATACCCATACCCGCTCCGTAGCATAGACCAGGTCAAAAAGTCCCAGCACCGTGACTGAGACCCCCACAGCTGGCCCATTCACCACAGCAACCAGCAGCTTGGGAAAGTCAATGTAGGCCTTCACATACTTCCTGTAGAAAGAAGAAGTCGTTTAAAGCTGGTTTTTATTGTTATGTGTGAGACAAAAAATGCTGAAGGCTTTTCTGGCACCTGTGAACTCCACACAAACAAAATAACAATAATGAAGAACATTAGTTGTACTTAGTTAAGATTAGCATTCTGACAGCACGTGCTGAAAGCAGTAGGAACCTGCTTCATTCTTACATTAGATATTAGCTAATGTGCTGTTAAACAGTAGTTTATGGCATTTCATGACTTAACCATTAACTACTAAACATTAGGAATTTAATGTTTGCTTTTTGCTAATACTTTTCAACATGGCACTTTGTGCTTGTGCCACTGATCGATCTGATCACTGGCTGACAGGTCACTGATCACCTGAGCAGGTCTCCACCACGTCTGGCCGCCTCCTGCACCCCCCCGTCTTGGATCTTGGAGAAGTTGGTCAAGTCATTGCCGCTGCAGTAGAAATCGCCAGCACCTGTGAGGATATTTATTAACACTGATTGATTAAATATATTTTCACACTGTATTTTTTCCAAAGTGTAACATGAGCTAAGTTAATCTGTTACTGCCACCCCATTAAACAAAATTAAACCCTACGATAAAGTTCACAACTTATTGCACTTTGTGTTCGTGTGTACAACCACTAGGGGGAAGATTATGGCCAAAACAACTTTGTGAACAGCAGCAAATAACAAAAAACACAACAACATGAGCTACAGTATTGCATCTCCTTCCTTCAATCACTCCTTTCTTGCTACCTTCATTTTTTTTCTTTAATTCATTGAGTGTACAGGAATACTGTGCACTTCGTGTGTGTACCAGTAAAAACAGCAATGACCGACTCATCTTTCGCAGCCTGCTCAAGCGCTGCAATGATCTCGTTGTACATCTGAAACAGATTAGATGTTTAAGAACTCATTAAAAGACATTAGCTTCAGCTCAACCTGTAGGAAAGAGAAACCGAGCAGAAACCGATGGTTTTACAACTGAAGAAATAAATCACATAACATCAGGAGTCAATAAAACAGATTTTGTTCAGTGCAAAAACACATGCTGTAATTGCTCCTTGAGAACTCACTTTAGTATGGTTTGTACCCGTTTTTAAATTTTCTGTACAAGTTCCGATTTAATGTTCCGACATCAAAACGTCCCTATAATGTAAAGCTGTCTTTACATGTCATCACAACATCAAGCTAATCTCAAATGTCAAACTGCCCCCTCAAAAGAAGAAGAAGAAGAAGAAGAAGAAGAAGACGACATGCACACACCCCTGTGGTGATGGCGTTCTTCTTTGCCGGCCGGTTCAGCGTGATGGTGGTAATGTTGTCTTCCTTGGTGACCAGCAGTGTCTCGTACACTGCCCCACTTCCAGCAGCTTTTGTAGTCAACTGGGTGGAGCTTCCTCCTTCTTCCTCCACCAAGGACTCGATCAGTTTGCAGTACTGCTGCCGGGCATCATCCTGACAGATGCAGACATTTCCTGTTTATTTAATATTACAGCGAGGAGACTGTTGTGCTAAAAGCAAAGCACCTGTGGTGTGGAACCCAGACTCTTCCATGCGTCCCACTTTGCCTTGTTGACAAAGTCCAGCATACCAGGTCTGGGAGTGTTACAGGGACCCTGGGTGGCCTGGAGGAAGAAGAGGAGAAGGGCGAGACAAGTGTGTGTCATCACAACTTCAAAGAAAAAGTTAAAATGTCCTCACAAGCATTCAAACATCCACAGAACTACATGGTGACATCATACCAGCTGTCAAAATGTCAACAAGTCCTCTTAACATATGAAAACATATTCACAATGTCCTCATAACAGCACACCTGTTGCGTGGCCCACCTGTTTGAACAGAGCGTAAATCCTCAGTTTGACCTCGTTGCCTGGGTCATTCTTCAGTGTAGACAATTTACTCTTGGCCTCCTCAAACTGCTGCACTGTTGCACCTGCAGACGCAGACACACACACACACACACACACACACACACCCCCACACACACACACACACACCACCATTAGTGACCAGATGACCAGAAAATTTCGGTCTGCTGAAAAAGCTTAAGCTTATCTGAACTAGGGCTGGACACAAATATTCAACTATTCAGATATTCATTTGTAGGGTAGGTAATCAGTTTTCAATTTTAGTATTCGGATATTAGAAACAGCAGGAAATTTCAATAAAGCCTAAGCATTAGCGTGAACTGAGCGCCTTCTGCTGTTCCAACAACTCCAACAAATGAGACATCTTCACTGGTAAAACTATCGGCTGATCTCACATCAGTGATGGAACTGGAGCACAGTCTGCATGATGGTGTACATCAGAATCAGAATCAGAATCTGCTTTATTGGCCAGGTGTGTTGGACACACAAGGAATTTGACTCTGGTACATCGGCTCTCAATGTGCAAACAGTAAACCATCATAAGGCTGTGTAATATAACAAAAATAAGCAGTATTTACAAGCAACAGAAAGTGCAAACATGCAAATGGTTATGAAGATCTATCATCTGTTCATCTTTTACATTACATAAGAACTTTAATTAGCTTCTTGTTTTATTTTTTTAACCCCAAATACTGCCAGGTGGGCAAACGGGTAGCCTACTTTTAGGTGTCCTGCAAGGCAGGGCGGACTGAGTGATCTGGTCTCCATTGAAAATGAATGGGCATGTGTCACTGACCCAGCTACACACGTTGGCCACAAGGGGGTTCAAATATGGTCAGCAGCCTCTCCAGCACTCAGTGGTGAATAATCTTTAAAAATACTTCTGTATCCAAATCTGGTAGATTATTGATTACTAATTTGGCATGTAACTCCTATAAGAATAGACTAAATTACTTCAAAGAGATGAAAAATTATCATAAAAAAACAAAATGACCTCAACCTGCAGCAGATACTCACCCATCATAGCAGAAACTGTAGTATGGAGCTTCAGACTAGGAACTGTGGGGAACTGGTGTGAGCTGGACACACAAAACACCACTCAGTAACAGAGGTGCAAAAGAAACTGGGAGGGAAAACGACCACAGAAACACCAAGTGACTAGAAAGAGATATTAAAAAATCCGCAAAAAGGCTCAAAACAACAAAAGTTTTCACAGCAACAATTACCTAAAAATGCTAACACAGTAATGATCAGTCAGTGAATCAATCCATGTTCCCCTGTGATTCTCCTCAGTAGCGCAGTTAGCGCAGCTGGAACAGTTAGCGCAGCTAGCTGTACCATGCTCACTCCTATGACAACTGATAAAAGTCATTAACTAAACGCCGGTGTTCACCGCGCACAGCCCGCTGGCTTGCTTCTTATTTGGTGGCGTTAGCTGATGATAACGACTAACACCGGAGACAAACACACATTCCGAGGTTGTTATCCTAACCGAGCTAGCTAGCAGATATAATTGCGGACACACACAGCTCGGTAAAGGCATCAGACATAAACACTGTTCTCATCCTCACCTTGTTAACAGGAGAACACGCCGGACAGCACACCACCTCAGGACGACAGAAGCCATAGTCGTCGTCGTCGTCTTCTTCTTCTTCTTATTCTCCGTGTCAAGCAACGTGAGGCGCGTTACCGCCACCTTCTGAGCAGGAGTGGGGGTCAAGTCAACCAATCAGGGTAATACAGTCATAGTAATACAGGGAGTAGTATGACAGGTATTTTTACTATAGATACTTTAACTACATGAAGCTGGGAATACTTATGTAATTGTATTGCTGATGCTTTACAAGACGTTTCCACCAAACTTCATTTACTTTTCAAGAAATTATACTTAAGTCAATCAAAAACTTATTACACTCCTGCTAAAAATATATGATTCACTCTGTGTCTCCATAGAAACTCATTATTTAAAAGTACATGATAAATACACATACATATATTGTGACTTCATAGAAATGTGCAGTGCTACAAACCTCAGCACATTCTTCTTTCCACTCATATAGAGAAAGTGTCGAGACAGCACAAGCCTTTAAATCCCCAGCTTTTGTCCCTGGGGCCAGGACTTCACCCCCCTCCCCATATAAATAGGGGCATCCAACTTCTTCTCTGCTACACTGTGTGTGTGGATTCTGTGCCAGGCCAGAAAACGTCCAGTGGGCAAAACATGTCGCAGTACTCCGGGAAGGTGAGCAACACAGCTGCAGCATTGTGTATCTAAAAACTTGAAAGAGGTCAGAGCAGCCTATTTGATTTTCAAAGCAAAATATTTCAGGCTAATAATTTAAACACATTTTCACTTTTAAGTGTCCTGTGAAATATCACATTTCTTAATTTTAATTAATGTAGACAGTGTTTTACAAACTGTGTCCAGTGAGAAGCACTACACTTAAATTGGTAAAAGCTCAATTTTTCTGAATTTGCAAAACTAAGTAGTTGTGATTTAAAGACAAAAACTCTGATCCAAAATGAAAGATGAATAACGTGGCTGGTAGATTACTGGTCTAACCATCTACATCCATCTACAAGGTATGGATGCTGACTCAGCATCCATACCTTGTTTTCCTGGTCTTTATTGTATGAATGCTGACTCAGCATCCATAGCTTGTTTTCCTGGTCTTTATTATTGTATGGATGCTGAGTCAGCATCCATACTATGTTATCCAATTATTTATTATTATTGTATGGATGCTGATTCAGCATCCATACTATGTTTTCCAATTATTGTATGGATGCTGAGTCAGCATCCATACTATGTTATCCAATTATTTATTATTATTGTATGGATGCTGATTCAGCATCCATACTATGTTTTCCAATTATTGTATGGATGCTGAGTCAGCATCCATACTATGTTATCCAATTATTTATTATTATTGTATGGATGCTGATTCAGCATCCATACTATGTTTTCCAATTATTGTATGGATGCTGAGTCAGCATCCATACTATGTTATCCAATTATTTATTATTATTGTATGGATGCTGATTCAGCATCCATACTATGTTTTCCAATTATTGTATGGATGCTGAGTCAGCATCCATACTATGTTATCCAATTATTTATTATTATTGTATGGATGCTGATTCAGCATCCATACTATGTTTTCCAATTATTGTATGGATGCTGAGTCAGCATCCATACTATGTTATCCAATTATTTATTATTATTGTATGGATGCTGATTCAGCATCCATACTATGTTTTCCAATTATTGTATGGATGCTGAGTCAGCATCCATACTATGTTATCCAATTATTTATTATTATTGTATGGATGCTGATTCAGCATCCATACTATGTTTTCCAATTATTGTATGGATGCTGAGTCAGCATCCATACTATGTTATCCAATTATTTATTATTATTGTATGGATGCTGATTCAGCATCCATACTATGTTTTCCAATTATTGTATGGATGCTGAGTCAGCATCCATACTATGTTATCCAATTATTTATTATTATTGTATGGATGCTGATTCAGCATCCATACTATGTTTTCCAATTATTGTATGGATGCTGAGTCAGCATCCATACTATGTTATCCAATTATTTATTATTATTGTATGGATGCTGATTCAGCATCCATACTATGTTTTCCAATTATTGTATGGATGCTGAGTCAGCATCCATACTATGTTATCCAATTATTTATTATTATTGTATGGATGCTGATTCAGCATCCATACAATTATAACTTTCATACTTTTTAAGATATTCAGCTTTTTTTTTACAGAAATTTCCCCATTGGAAATGAATGGGGCAAAGTTGGAAGCTTAATATGTCCGGCATAATTTGGGCTAGAAATGCCATTTCAACTTTGTTCAACTCGTGAGACGTTCAGCTACCAATGGTGCAACCATCTTTATAACTTTCATACTTTTTAAAAAATTCAGCTTTTTTCATCACAAATTTTTCCCAAGCAAATGAATGGGAAAGTCTTGAAAGCCTCATCGTCTTTGAACATTAATATCTCCGGTATACCTTGGGCTAGAAACGCCATTTCAACTCTATTCATCTTGTGAGACGTTCAGCTACCACTGGTGCAACAATCATCTTGATATCTTATACAGTTTTTTTTATAATCGACATTTATATTTTCTGTATTTCTCCATAGAAATGAATGGCGCAATGTAAACTCTATGGGACATTCTCGGTCACGTGACACCCGTTCTAGCAGGTGTCTCTGTGCTTATCCTCTTCCTCATTCTCAAAAAATTACGCTGGGTAATTATAAATCGCCACGGTTCCTTCAATTTGTTTAATATCTTGACATAATACAACAGTGAAATAACACAACAGTGTGCTGTATATATTAAACTTCATGCAGATGTCACTTTGCTCATCGCCACGTCTCTTGCTCTCTCACTCCTGTGCAGACGCTCCCACCGGATGCTCACAGCTGATTTTCAGCTGGATATGGAGCGGCTCAGAGGCACTGGCACTGCCAGTCCGCCCCCTCCTGCTAGCAGCTTGGCAGCAGAAAACGTTACGATCTACTGTTTATCTCTTCCCTACAACGATCGCTACCAAAATACAGTACAATTCTGTCTTGCAGATGCAGTTGGTATCTGTTAACTGCTGTTAACTACTTAAATATATATCACACTAAATAGTTAGACATTATGATCTTTTGAACTTTAGCTTCAAGAATTTTTTTCTAATTGAACCTTTTTAAATTTTAAAATGTGAAATTTGTACAGACAGTTTAAAAACTAATTTTATCAACAGAGTTATTACAGTTTTTATTATTTAGAATATTGAGTCATTCCATTTAAAAGCTTTTCACATTGTAGTTACACCTGGGTTAATACCTCATTAGTTCACAGTTTCAGACAGACCATCAAGATCACCATGGGGAAAATTGTTTCTCAGTCAAATCAT